ACATATCTTGAGTGATGAAGCTAGCTCGTCTGAGCCAGAAACTGAAGTGGATGCTGATTCGGAAGCAAAAGAAGTCAAGAAAGATCCACTTGCAGTAAAGAAGGATACTAGAGCAAGAAATCTTATTTGCTTTAGTCTTACTAACATGGTCTTACGAAAGGTCATGAAAGAGACCACTGCCATGGGAGTGTGGAAGGCATTGGAAGCAGATTATCAGACGAAGACTCTTCCTAATCGCATTTATCTCAAGCAAAGCTTTGCGAGCTACAGGATGGTGGAGAGTAAAAGTATTGAAGAGAATCTGGATACTTTCCTAAAGCTGGTAGATGATCTGGCTAGCCTAAACATAATCGTTTCAGATGAAGATCAAGCTATTCAGATCTTAACTAGTCTACCGCCTCAATATGATTCCTTGGTACATACTTTGAAGTATGGGAATGGTAAAGAGACGTTAACTGTCAAGGAAGTGACTACTTCGGCATATGCTAAAGAAGCAGAGCTTAATGAGAAAGGTTTACTCAAGAAAGCAAAATCTAATGCTGAAGGACTGATGGTGTCTCGAGGAAGAACTGATAAACGTTCTAGCTATCAAGGAAGAAATAGGTCAAAGAGCAAAGATTTCAGGTCGAAATCAAAAGGCAAGTCGCAACCTAAAGCGAAGGAGTGCTGGACATGTGGAAAAGAAGGTCATTTCAAAAGAGATTGTCCGGATAGAAAGGATCAAAAATCTTCAAGCTCAGCTAATGTGGCTCATGAAAGGGAGTTCCCTATGATTCTAACGGCAAGTATAGAAGACACTAAAGAAGAATGGGTTCTTGATTCGGGATGTACCTTTCACATTACTCCTAACAGAGATGTTCTATTTGATTTTGAAGAGCATGAAGGTGGTAAAGTGTTAATGGGGAATAACACGGCTAGTGAGGTAAAAGGAATTGGTAAGATTAAGATCATCAATCCTGATAAGTCTGTGGTGGTGTTAACCGGCGTGAGGTATATGCCTACTATGGTAAGAAATCTGATCTCATATGGTCAAATGGAGAAAAATGGTTGTAACTACACTGGAGGTGACTATAAAGTTACATTTCTCAAAAATGGGAAGAAAGTCATTTCAGGGAGTTACAAGAATGGATTATATTTTCTCCAAGGAGACGTGGTCAAAGCTGAAGCTAATGTCTCGAGAACTGAAGTAAACCTCACTAACAGGTGGCATTCTCGATTGGGGCACATGAGTCTAAAGAACATGAATGTTCTAGTGAAGAATGGTTATCTAAAACAGAAAGAAGTTCATACTTTGGATTTCTGTGAAGTGTGTGTTCTTGGTAAAGCTCACAAGTTACCGTTTCCGAGTGCTAAGCATGTTACTACTGAGATACTTGGATATGTTCATAGTGACCTATGGGGTTCTGTGTCAAATGAAGGAAGCTTATCAGGTTGCAAGTATTTTCTGACTCTGATTGATGATTTCTCAAAGAAGGTTTGGATCAGATTCTTAAGGTCTAAGGATGAAGCGTATGAGAATATTTCAGAGTGGAAGAATCTGGTTGAAACTCAAACAGGCAAGAAGGTAAAGTGTCTTAGAACAGATAATGGGTTAGAGTTTTGCAACAACTTGATGGATAAGATGTGTAAAGAAGCAGGTATTAAAAGGCACAGGACGTGTACTTATACTCCACAACAGAATGGAGTAGCAGAGCGTATGAACAGAACCATTGCAGATAAAATCAGGTGTATGTTGACAGAATCTGGTTTAGAAAAGAAATTCTGGGCTGAAGCTGCGTCAACGGCAGTCTACTTGATTAACAGAACTCCTAATGCTTCTATTGAATTTAAGATTCCAGAGGAAGTTTGGTCTGGGGCTAAAGTGGAGTTCGATCATATCAGGAGGTTTGGATGTGTTGCTTACGTGCACACTATTCAAGATAAGATGAGTCCTAGAGCTTTGAAAGGTATCTTCATGGGTTATCCGCAAGGCACTAAAGGCTATCGGGTCTGGTTACCAGAAGAAGGAAAGTCTACTATCAGTAGGAATGTGGTATTCGATGAGGAAAGCCTTTACATGAAAGATAAAGAAAAGGGGACTCAACATTCGTCAAACGAGAAACGGGTTACCTTCAAAGCAGATTTGATTCAAGGTCCTACTCCAGGAGGTTCAACTTTTGAAGTAGGTTCCACGTCAAATCCTGGGGGGAGTTCAGCCGAAGGTGGAGTTTCTACAGAAAGAAATACTAATCCTGATGATGACGGGGATGGTGATCCGAATAATGAACAAGAAGTAGATAACACTGAGGAATCTCTAAGTGATTATCTTCTAGCAAGAGACCGTATCAGAAGGAAGATAAAGCCACCTGCGATCTTTGAGAGTGGTGACTTTGTGGGATATGCTTTGAGTAGTGCATTGGACATAGAAGTGAATGAACCGAAGTCATATGCAGAAGCAATGAAGTGCAAGGATTGGAAGAAATGGAAAGCTTCTATGGGGGAGGAAAAAGTTTCATTGGATAAAAATAACACTTGGGATCTCGTGGACAGACCACCAAGGCAAAGGATCATCCAGTGTAAATGGATCTACAAATATAAGGAAGGTATTCCAGGAGTTGAAGATCCGAGGTATAAGTCTCGTCTTGTTGCCAAAGGATACACTCAGGTGGAGGGAGTGGATTACAACGAGATCTTTGCTCCTGTGGTGAAGCACGTATCTATCAGAATCATTCTATCCTACGTGGTTAACAACGATGCTGAGCTAGAACAGATGGATGTTAAGACAGCCTTTCTTCATGGGAGTTTGGATGAAACCATTTATATGGAACAACCAGAAGGTTTTATTGAAAAAGGAAAAGAAGATAAGGTTTGTCTGCTAAGGAAATCGTTGTATGGTTTAAAGCAGTCGCCACGCCAGTGGAATTTGAGATTTGATGCGTATATGAAGACTCTGGGGTTTAAGAGATGCGTAAAAGATCCTTGTGTATACTTAAAGGAAGGAGGTTCAGGAGAGAATGTCTATCTTCTTCTCTATGTCGATGACATGCTAATTGCAGCTAAGAGTAAAAGGGAAGTCTCAAAACTCAAAGACAATCTTCGGTCTGAGTTTGAGATGAAAGATCTTGGTTCAGCCACTAGGATTCTTGGAATGGATATAATTCGGAACAGAGAGAAAGGAATTCTAAAGCTCAGTCAAGAAAAGTACATTAAACAGGTGTTGAGGACATTTGGGATGGAGTTTTGTAGACCTGTTGTTACACCATCAAATGCTCAATTCAAATTGAAGAGCTTGACTGACAAGGAATGGCTAACAGAGGCAAAGTTAATGGATAAAATTCCTTATGCAAGTGCAGTGGGAAGCATTATGTATGCTATGGTTGGTTCAAGACCGGATTTAGCATTTGCAGTTGGTTTGGTAAGTAGGTTTATGTCTAAACCTAGTCGTGAGCATTGGGAAGCTGTTAAGTGGATTCTGAAGTACTTACAGGGAGCTACTGAAGTTTGTCTAACCTTCACTAAGGCAGGTCATTTTAAAGTTGAAGGGTTTAGCGATTCAGATTATGCTACTGATCGTGACAAAAGCAGATCAGTATCAGGGTATGTGTTCAGAGTTGGGGTAATACAGTTAGTTGGAGGTCTACACTGCAGCATGTTGTGGCATTATCCACTACAGAGGCTGAGTATATGGCCTTATCTGAAGCTACAAAAGAAGGCTTATGGTTACGGGAGTTTTGCAGTGAGTTGGGATTCAATTCAGAATATTTTAAGCTTCATTGTGATTCTCAAAGTGCTATTTGCCTAGCTAAAAATGCAGTTCATCATGACAAAACTAAGCATGTGGCTTCTAAGATTCATTTCATCAGGGATATTATTGAGTTCGGACTAGTTAAAGTTCTAAAGATTCATACTACTCTAAATCCTGCAGACATGCTTACGAAGAATTTACCTGGTCATGCGTTCGAGAAGTGCCTCGTAACGCTCGGGGTTGTCTCCTGATCGCTCCGAGATATACTCTGAGATGGCTCTGTTGTTTGGTCATCTCGTCAGGAGTACATACAAGAAGAGAGTAAGATTTGGTTAGTGTTTTGCTCTTGGAAAAACAACAAGATTTAATCTAACTGGTTTCTAAGGGTTTTTTGAAGACTTACTCAAGATTTGCGGGTTTGTCTCCAAAGAGGTTCAGATGGTTGTTATCTGAGGAAACAGTCATAATCTCGGGTTAGCTCGTTATCTCTGTCTACCGGTAATTCTGATTAGATAAGGAGAAGGACTTACAGATTTCAAGTGCAGTTGGTTGATTCTGAGATTCGTCTGGCAGCGGAAGCGTCGGGTTCATCTGGTTCTCCGATGGTTGTTGTTGGGTATCTGAGGGTTGCTCTGGGATTTTGAAATCGGGTGGAAGAGTTAGGGTCGGAGATGTGTTTGTTTCGGTGGAGTAAATCAGAAGCTCTGGACTTTGAGGCTTCTGTGGATCGGGGCTGGTTGGAGTCTTGATAGGTATTGGTCGTGGTTCGTCGTTTGAGTCACAGTGGCTTTCTGAGAAGGTGGAGCTGTGGTTTGAAGAAGCGGACATGGTTTTCAGGTTCTTCTGGATTTGTCGGAATCGCAGAAGGTATGTTTGTGTGCGGCGGTGTCGGGAAATGACCTAATCGACAAGGTGGAGATTTGTGAAGCTATGTCGTTTAGTCATTTGGGCCTTGGGCCTTATCTCAGATTTGGGTCATTATGTTCAAGCCCAAATGCGATATCACTTAATTGATACGGGAGCGTTTTGTGGTTGTTACAAGTGGGACCCGATTCTGTTAACTTCATCGTCTACATAAAAGGAGAGAGAGTGGCAGTTACAGAGATAGAGTTCGAGAGANGTTGCTAGCGAAGTCTAGCTCCGGTGAGTATAGCGACCTCTTCACATTGAAGAGGTGCGGTGAACACCGGGTGAAAAAGCTTGCGTGTCTTTTGTTTACTTTCAAGCTTAGATTGAATCGAATCTAATCGGACTTAACCAAATCAAGATAGTGAATCTAGATCAGTTGAGCAATAGGAGTTGAGATCAAAACCTTAACAGATATAGCGATCATAGCAGCTTCATCTTTAGGATATCTAATAACAAAAGAAAAAACAATACATTCTAAGAGCAAACCCTAATAGAAAAACGACTTAAGTTTCTGGTTGTGGTGACAACAGTACCGAGAATTCCCACAAGAGATGGCAGGAAATGCAATGTATTTGATGTTGTTTTCCTTCGCCACTATAAGACTATTTCTGTAGCAAAACATAGAGATGAAGTGAGTTATTTTTAGAAGAAACCTATAGAACAAATAAAACCGGCATATGTCTAAATATATGATCTCCAAAAAAAAAATTGGGAACCCAATACCAAAGTTTCATTAGAATGTACTTAGAAACGGCTCAAAGAACTAGAGAAACTGTTTACTTGTAAGAACTGGTGAGCGATTCTTTAGGTTGACGTCTGATTCATAGACGGGTCCAACAGTGTGAATCACATGAGATGCATACAAATTGAAACCCCTGTTACATTTTAACAAACCCAACATGCCTTCAGTAATCAACAATGTTACAATACCTAACTCAAATTACCTCTCATTGATTATATACATGAGAACTGAGCAGAGAAAGAGTAACGCACACAGTGATTCTTGCTTCACCGGTTGGACAACGCACTCCAGGACTAACTTGAGGGACGCCACAGCACATTGTTCTCAGGTGTCGCCCAGCAACTCTATGTATTGCTGTCACATATACAATTTATACAATGTCAGTGGATTGAAGATTACTGAAGAAGACAAGACTCATCAAAATTTACCTCCATCGACGCCGCCACCACCACCTATCATTCGGTTATCTGCTGAATTGACCTGAAGAAACAGACTGTCTAAGTCAGAGTAACGATAAAGCAATAGCATCAACCAAATGATACAAGAGACTTACAATAGCATCGGTTCTCGCATCCACGTACCACTCGGTGATGTCACCTTTATGGATTTTGAGAAGACTAGAATCAGACAAATTGAAAACTGCTCCAGAAGCCATGGACGAGATAGTGAATACTCTACTCGTGAAGTCCTATTAAAAGAATACAGAACATAAGAAGAAGCAGTAATCACATTTCATATTTTTTTTTGTATCTTTTGACTTCTGTTAGTTTGCATTTAGCCACTGAATGAAAACTAAGACCTAACTTTTCTTACCCTCAAAGAATTTATACATTTTAAAAGAGATTCATTAGCAGCTTAAAACAGAGGAATGCTTACCCACAACAGGGAGTTCAATCTCTACAATGAGATTGATAGTTACGACTGATGCATTATATTTGAAAATATAACATATATAAAAGGTAATGTTTCATTCTGACAGACATGCACCCACGTTTTTGTTCCAGGACCGCTGGACGGCTACTGTTTCTAATTTACAGTTATGCTTTTCATGTCTTTTTAGTTATTGAACAAAATTTATTTTCGAATTAGTATTCTTAAAAGACTTGTAAGTTATGCTGGATCCTTAAAAAACTTTCTTTTATAAACAATGGAGAAGTTCTTTCTACGTATTTGGCTAACATTTTTTTTTCTTTATAACCGTGAGAATATCAAATGTTTTGTAGGTCTAAGGATTAATCTTACGAAGTCCGAAATCTGAGTTTTTTTGCCACTGAAAGCGTTTACAGTGGTTAATACTATTCGAACCCAACACGAAAATTCCAATAAAATTATGACAAGAAAAATGTGGTCGATTGACTGACCATGTGCCAGCATTTATTGATTCTATTCATATACTTTTGGTTTTTGAAAAACATATTCATTATCTCAGTTTAAACCAGTAAACCAAATCCATAATGGCCAAAGTAAATTAAAAAAAAAAACTAGATGATAAGAAACAACAAAGAGCTAAAAAGTGAAAACTATATACATACCTTGCAACCATTGTGAAGATGTTAAATATAATTTTAAGTACATTCTACTCCTTTTATAATAAGTACCACTGCTCAAGGAAAACCAATAATTAAGTGTTGCTTTAGACTCCAATACAAAATTTTGACAAGAATCTCAAATGTAAAAAATAATGTCAAGAATCAACTGAAAGAGTCAAAACGACTATCCTTTTAAAAACCAAAGTTGGTAAAGAGAGAAAGAGAACAAAGAGAGTTACCTGAAATTGTGGGTAGTTGATTTTTATCTTCATGGTATTTGTGCATGACATAACTTTGAAGTAATTTTCCCAAAAAGAAGTTTTCCTTAGAATATGCAACTTTTTGGTTGTGAAAATTTCAAATTGTGCGAGTGTATCCCATATCTGTAGTTTAATCAACAGCACTTTGCCTACAAAACAGCGGTCCAATGGGTTCGGGTCCATGTTAACATAAGTACATTATTCAGCCCAAATTATATTTATAATTAAATTTTTCAGTTTTGCAAGTACACACTTAAATTATAGTATTTGTTTAACTAATATATTTTGTGCTAAAAAATTTAATTAATATTTTATATGTCAATAAATAATATTCTCTGCTAGCTCTAACTTTTAATACAGAGAAGAGAGAACAACGGGGCGACGAGTTAGGCTACAAATACGGGTCAAACAAGAATATACAAGTGCAAAACTTTCTTAGAGTCTAAGCAATATTCTTCTTTCCATTGGATTTTGAATTGAAACTGGAGATGAGTTGAATAATAATTATTTTGATGTGACCAAGATATATAACTTATGGTATATGTTAATCTCAGTGTTATGCCACCATCTGAACTCAAATGTATAAAGTTCATATTAACATATAATATAATATCGATGATTTTTTTTTATTTTTTTTAGCTCTTGATTTTTAAAGCTTTAAAGCATATAGAAGAAAATATAGAATATCGATGTGATAACAATATTACATTTTTGTAACAACGAAATTCTGAACCATGATATCTATTCGAATATGGAAGCTAGGCTGACTTAATCCTCTCCAGTAATACATATTTTTACGCAAGTGCTATCTACGCCATTGATAGTCGTGACTTGTGAATTGGTGGTTCAAGATTTGAGTAGCCTTTAACGATTGACCAAGAAATTTGATAAACTGTTTGGTACCATCACTAACGGTGGTCTAGAGAGAATATATGGGCCTACAGTTAATAGCTAACCTAACAATGTACTTTCTATAAATGCTTTACCAATTTTTTTACTTTTATAAACTTTCAAACCTATTAAGCTATATCGCTGATCAATTTAGGATAGTCAGAGGAGGTCCATTCGCGTGCAACGGTGTAGACATATATAAACCTTTAATGCCACGAAGAATTAGCAGCAAACTTGGTTACATAATATAAAACGTAAATTTGATTTCTAAGAGTTATAGATTTGATTACTATTGGAAATAAAGCAGAAGTGTGTTATAAATGTGAAGCAAAAGTCCACATGCGGCCATGGAAAACAAAAAAAAAATATAAAGTAGGCATTAAGCACAAAATCCATCTGTTGTTGACTGGCTGATGAATGATGGATATTTGTATATGATTATAATTGTGTGTGATCATCAGATTCATAAGGTCAAAATAAAAATAAAAAACCCTCACCGGTCACGTGCTTAAGCAGTAAATACAGCTCTTGAGTCTTCACTTTCTAGATATCTTCAGTTGTTTTCATCTTAAAAAAAGACACTGTTCTGCTTCTCGAGCTACAAAACCTCTTTCATCTCCATCAGAGAGGTCTATTTCAAGCCAGCCTCAACGTTTTCTTATATATCTATTTGTATATTGGCACCAGACAGTGTCTTATACGATATATATCGTGATCAGTAAATCTTAAACTTGGTATTTTACTTGGCTTTAAAGCCTTTTTCACCAATCTTCCTTCACACTCTCTTTTAAAAGTCGCTTGACTTTAGTATTTCTCTTTTTGTTTCTTTCTACTTTTTCCATCTTTTTCTTTCAATCCTCTCAGAGCATGCCTGAATGTCAAGAGAAAGGTAAAAAGTGAACATCTCATTAGTGAAATCCCTTTTCTCTTTACAGTGCTTAAATTTTATTATTACCCTCAAATTGGTGGATATGGTTTAATTTCACTTTCTTTTTTTGAATGAATTAATTAATTTCACTTTCTTATAGTCATGTGTTTAATAATAACTGAAGTTTGGTTCATTGTGTTTAGGGAGAGACTTGAAGAGATAGGGAAAAAGATCAAAAGAGAAGCAGATGCTTGGCCTCATCAAATGGCAGGAATTAGAAGACATACATCCGGTCCTCTCGGAGCCCTCAATACCATTACTCCTTGTGCTGCATGCAAACTTCTGCGTCGTAGATGCGCTCAAGAATGTCCTTTCTCACCTTATTTCTCCCCACATGAGCCTCTTAAGTTCGCATCCGTCCACAAAGTCTTTGGAGCTAGCAACGTCTCCAAGATGCTAATGGTAATACTAAAACACAAATATCATCATGTTATAGTGATAATGATCATATGTACTCTTTGGTCATTACATAACCGGGAATTAGTCTGGCTTTCATTATAAAATATCTCATAAAAAAAAAAATTTAAACAATGTCTTGGTAGATATATCCTCATAGTTTTAAACAATTTCTACACTAACCAGGAAGTACCAGAAGGCCAGAGAGCAGACACGGCGAATAGCCTCGTGTATGAAGCAAACGTGAGGCTAAGAGATCCGGTTTACGGTTGCATGGGAGCAATCGCAGCTCTTCAACAACAAGTTCAAGCTTTACAAGCCGAGCTTACTGCCGTACGATCTGAGATTCTCAAGTACAAGCAACGGGAAGCTGTGGCCACTTTGATAGTACCTTCCAACTCACAAGTCGCCGGATATCACAACTCTGGCGGCGTCTCCGTCATTGCACCACCACCACAAACGCCGTCAACTCCACCACAACCTACGGCGGCTCATCCTCCGCCTCCTCCATCTTCTTGTGTTTACTCTCAACCATCCACAAGAGCATTAGAATACGGAGACATTGAAAGTGAGAACAACTCCTACTTCCGTTAAAATTTATTTGAATTATTCTACAAACAAACACACATACATATAATTTATTTTGATAATATTGTGGTCCGGTGATTATAGCTAAACTAAATTAAATAAATATGAGGGAGGAGGTTAACGTTAAAAACCCTGTCATTAATCGATCAAATGTATTTAGATTGTTTTTTGTAAAAAGGTATTTATATTGCTTTTTTGGAAGTGGTATGCTTTACATTTTACATAACCGAAAATTACATGAGGTTGAAACATTGGTTCCTACGAATATGGAAGTCCAGTTCCAAACTTCCACTACTGACAGAGCCGGTCCTATGTTATACAAGACTAGAAGCAAAAAAAAAAAAACAGAACCGATCTTAGGTTACATGAGGATATACCAAAACTGTTTTCTTTAACACATACCACTTGACTAAGACATTATTTTGATAATTTTGTGGCCAGATCTTGTGATATAAAATTCGGCCGGAAACAGTTGATTCTATAGCTTGGTCCAAAAATCGGCCTTAGTACATAACAGAGTAGAAGCCTATTTTTCTCATATATATAGAAGATAAATAAACTGGACATTTAATTGATTAACCTTAATAAAATACATATAACACATTTGAATTTAGGGTAGCTAAAATTTAATTAGAGAGTCATGCCTACTTAACCCAATTACTAGTAACATTTAGTGAGTTAATTCCACAAAAACTGTTTGCACCAACTTTTTGTGATAGCTGGCTTTGAATGTGCACATATACACATTATATATTCATATATGTTGGGTGAACTGTCAGCTGTATATTATCACTAATTCATCTGTCTTATTTTACTTTCCGTGTTTCCTCATCGTATCGAATTAATCAAATACAGCTTGTTGCTGACCAGATAATGCAAACAATGGTCGGTGGAAATGTGTTTTTTTTTTGTGCACTGGAAATGTGTTTTGTTTAAAAGTAACATATTTTGGAGGAATCAGAAAAATAAGATATAGTTGCCAAAGTATCGATATATTTTGTCAAGATATGTAATCTGATAATTTATAAGTTGAGAAAAGAAATTTTACGGACTTACCTATTTAAAATTATTTAAGAGCCGAAACCTATAAGAAGTATTTTCAATGTTTTTTGATTATTTATTTTCTTTTTCAAATTAAAAAAAATATCAGCTAATCGTGAATTACCACATGTCGTGAAAGCCCACAAATAGTGCAAGAATACTAAAAATAGTCTTTATTTAGAGATTTTAAAGATTGAATCATTAACTTTTTGTGGCATCCATTGCGGATGCTCTAAGACCCTTAATCCATTTAGGCTGATCCGCAAAACAAGATTCATGATGGATCTTTAATTCTAAAATCACTTCGAATGGAGATTTTTCAATCATAATTTTTCTATTAAAATTAAAGAAATAAAAAAATTAAGAGAGAGTGTGAAAAGAAATTTAAAATTCTTGTTTTAGACCTTTTTTATCCACATCTTATGGCTTATGCAATCAACATTTTAATATTTTTTAAAAAAATATTAAACCTAATTGCACAATTAAAATATGAATATTTTTTTTTTATAACCTTATATGATTTCTAAGTCTATATCTGCCCATAGCACGACCTGTATTGACAACTTTATTAGTAGACAAGTAAAAATTTTACAAAAATAAAATATTCTAGGAATATGTTTTGTCCATCCATTTAGAGATCTATCATTTTGTAACTTGTTTGTTCTCTTGAGAAAAGAGCAACTATGTTTTGTACATCCATTTTGACCGTCGTTTTTAACCTTTCGTCTCTTAGTTTACTATATAATCCTAACATATTAGTCTTAAGGGTATAAATAAAGTTACTCAATTTTGGCTTTCCTTGGAATAGAAACTATAACTATATGGCAACAGAAACCGATAAAGACGTTTCCTCTAATGGATTTGCAAAAATCTTAAAAGAAAGTTGGCATACCGATCTACGTCTCATGGCAGGAAACAGTAATGGCTTTGCAGCTATCTCCGCCCACAAACTCGTTCTTGTATTTATATCTTCGCTTTCATTTTTCATCTTCATATTCGGGAAAAAGAACTTAAAAATTAGTACTCTTACATTGTGTGTTGACATACTTTTATCAATGATTATAGGCAGCAAGATCTGAGGTATTCAAGAAGATGCTGGAAACAGAAGTGACAAAGGCTTCGTCCGACCATGAAACGTTAATTTTCTCAGAGATGAGCCATGAGGAGTTAGAGACTCTAGTTGATTTCATGTACAACGATCACGGATCAGTTTCTTCTTCAAAACTAAAGAAACATGCTCGGTCTCTTTATCTAGCAACGCAAAGATACGAGATCCCTCATTTAAGGGACTTGTGCAGAAACGAGCTTATATCGTCTCTTAGTGCTTCCAATGCACTTGACGTACTTGAGTTCTCGCAGCAGGTTCCTTTGGACAAACCTCTCAACGATGCTATTTTGAGTTATATAGCAAGGAATATAAATACATTTTTGGATTCTGGCGAGTTCAAGATCTCTGTTGCTAGAAACCCAAATCTTGCCGTAGAGATAACAAAGGCTTTTCTGAATCCTATTGTGATACCATTCGAATATGAGTCTGATGATGATTGGTAAGTTGTAAGTTTGTAACAACACCTAGAAAAGTTATTCCGTACTTCAATAGCAAACAAGTTTTTATGAATGCCTTCAGATTTCAGAATAACAAAAGATATTAATTAAAAGAAGAAGTGGTTTTAATTATCAAAACACAAAATATAAAACTATCAAACCTAACTCGAATTAAAAAAAAAAATGTTAGTATAGTTTAAAATTTCTAAGAAGCTATTTTTTAACTGAATTCTTGAAAAAAAAAATCATGAATTAAAAAAAGAGTCGATAACGAACTTAACGATGTATTGGAAAATACTTAGAAATAGGTACTTTACATTTTAATTAAAATATTTAAAATAACAAGACATCAAACTATTTAATTAATTTTAATAAATTAATGTAAAGTACATATCTTAAAATATTAAAAATATTTTTAAGGAAATATATGATTGTTATAACAAATAATTCTTATATTATTATATTTTATAAAACTAAAATTTTTTTTTTTGAATTGCTAATACTATAGTACATTCAAAACCAAATATTTGGACACTTTCAGAATTGTTCTAGAATATTCTTACCAACTCTAAACTTTCAAAGCATAAAACCTGTTGTCACTGACTCATTGGTGGTTCTCTAGCTTGCTTTTATGTGTAATTATTTATCAACAAAATACTCCGTATCGGAAGTTTGAACAGGTGACCCGCTGACCAAGGAACTTAATTATACTCTTAAACATTTCTGAATGGTCCTTTGTTCAAACATCCGTTTGGTTCCATACATAATTCGGGATACCAAGCGCATCGGGCAACCAAAAGTTGGGACTTGTGACATTAGTGTATCATTCATTGTTCATAACCATTAATCCGTTTTTCAAAATCTTTGGGAAATATTGAAGAACGTAAATGAAGAGACATTTTGACTGCCGTCTATCGGTCTATGGGATCTTCACTATATATATACTCACCATCCTTTACGAAATCTACTTCAAGTTACCTAACTATGACAACGCAGAACAACCTTGAAATTTTCTTGGGTGGGTTTGCAAAAGTCTTTAATGAACAGTGGCAAGTAGATGTACGTCTCAAGGCAGGAGACAGTGATGAGGGTGCAGCTATCTCCGCCCATAAACTTGTTTTGGTCTCTTATTTCTCTTCTCTTGTTTTTGTCTTATATACTAATGCTTATGTTTAGTGTTTGTACTGTTAATAGGCGGCACGATCAGAGGTATTTAAGAAGATGCTTGAAGCAGACAAGTTCAAAGATACGGTTGGGAAGATCGAGACAGTAACTCTCTCGGAGCTGAAACAAGAGGAGTTAGAGGCTTTAGTTGAGTTCATCTACAACAATCGCTCTGTGCTTTCTGAAAAGGAGAAGAGACATGCTCAAACACTTTTTGTAGCAGCGGACAAATATGATATTCCGCATCTAAGGGATCTTTGCAGAAAAGAATTGATATCATCTTTGAAGTTGGCGAATGTTATCAATATCTTGGAACTGTCTTTGATTCCTTTTGACGAAGCCCTCAACGACGCTGCTGCCATGTTTGTAGTGAGGAATTTACTGAAGATGTGTGACACTGTTGAGTTCAAGTTGTTCGTTGGGAAGAATCCAGATCTTACCGTTGATATAATAAAGTCTTCTACGTCTCGGAGGTGGAAGCAACGGTTGATCTGGGATGAATTTCTATCCGGAGCAAAACAATAAAACACTAGTAATATATTTATAAATTCAAATTTTTACACAAGTGACAGCTTCCCGCCACTGGGTGGAAGAACCATTATCTCTATTAGAGATACTTGAAGATCAAAATCATTTAATATCTGCTAATACAAAAGCATTTCTCTGTTAGTTTGGTTTGGTTTGGTTTGATTGTTACCTTAAGGTTTAGATTTGCATGATATTAAAGATGGTCAATCTTTGGCAATATTCTTTACCGTTACCATGAGTTGTATTGTGGAGAAATTGAATTTTGCATAGATTCTATATCTTCATTTTTCTCTTGAGAATTTAAAAATTATAAAATAAATTAAGTAGTTTATTAGAATTTTAATTCAAAGTTTTAGTTCAGTGTGATTCAGTTTTTTTTTTCTGTTACCAAATAAACTATTTAGACCGAAAAAATAAAACTACTTATAACAAATTACAGTTTCAAATCGAGTTCTTTGTTCAGTATCCGGATTGAGCAGCACTAATCTTTTTTTTTGTTTTCTGAAACTTCACTAATCTAATATTTTTCTTTTGTTAATTATCAATATGCTAATGTAAATAATAATATCACAATCTTGTTCATGTCAACAATCAAATTATCATCAGATTTAGCTAATCATTATTAAGAGAATAAGAAATCGTGGGGAGAACGTGTAGGATGTATGTATTTGTACGTTTTACATTCCTGTTTTTCTGGAGTTATTTTGCTCACGTGAACAAAAAATGTTTGTCTTCTTCTGTTGTTTAGAATAAGCTCTCTCATATCATCTGATCAAATCCGAAATAATTTTAATTTACTCGATCAAATTTAAAAACAATGTTGAGCGTCTTCGATTTTCTGATATTCGAATTTAAAAGAACTAATTTTTAACCCACAAAGGAAAATCAGAACAAATACGTTAACTGTCTCAGTTGGTATGTATCAGCTAGTTGACCTTTGAATACGTATTTTTCTTTTCTGTTTTTTTTAACCACAAAATACGTATTTTCCTATTGCTTAATTGTGTGAGAATATAGTAGTAACATACAATTGATTTTTCTTCATTATCCCTTTTCTAGGAGAATATTATGGGTTACAAGATGAACAGACGAAGAAACAAACAGAATTACTATAGAAATTGTGTTATTATATTTTTGCATAAATAAAATATAATAAAGAGAATTAAATAAAAATGTGGGTCAATCTAAGCTCTGTAGATCATTGCTTTCACTCCAGCTTCTGATTGCATCTGTCACTGCTTGTTTCACTGCTTCAGAATCCATACCCTCTCCATCCTCATTCTGCAATTAGTAAAGGTGCGTAATCACTAAATTTTTTTATATTTTCAACACTCACATAAGGACCTAGACAATGTTATATATAAATTTTGTATAAGTGTTTCTTACATTGCCCCCTTCATATTATAATCTACTATATATAGTATTTTTGAATTTTCATTAGCAAAATCACAAACATTCATAATCCAAATAAGATTTCATAATCATATATTGACGACGCTATCGCAAAATCTGATCGCCTGTAGTAAGAACTTCATACAAATACTGTCCGAAACATATATATATATATATAGGCAAATAGTTATAAGTACGATACAGAACTGATGTAATATGTTTCTCTGTTGATTTGTTAATTACCTCGACTCCCGTGGCATGCAAGCTAAAGGAGTCGGTACATGAAACCCTAGCTTCGAGGACGTTAAGCCCAATATCCTCAAAGGCTTCTAATACCGAAACAAGCATGCCTGGCTGATTCTTCCCTGCGAATACGTTTATCATAAAACCCTTTTCTAGGGTTTCCACTGTTACCTATAAATAAATCAAAACCTCATAATTAATGAATCTCTCACATTCACATGCGTACTTATATATATATAATTAATGGTTACAAAGTACACGCTTGTGATGTTTATACCATTGGTGTGGTGGGATCCGTGGGCTCGCTTGAAGATTGCCCCCTGCTAGTGTCTTCCTTGAATCTTTCAACTTTCTGCTTAAGCTTTTTGATATATTTTGATGCATCCATTATGATCGATGTATCGTTTTCCTGTCATTAAAAACACGCGTGAACGGACACCTATTAGTAGCATATACATCATCCAAAAATACACTATTAGAGGTCGGTAAAATAAAATAAAAAAAATCCCCAGTTCATCTATCCATCATGATTGTCCTATATATCTTGTTTGTAGTAGTATGCGTTCTTCTATAGATGTTTAGAAGAAAATAAAGTAATTACCCACGAAATAAAAAGGAAACAGGAATATATCGAAGATTCAAAGATTCACAGACCCAAAATCGAAAATGATCTTAATTAAGGGACAAAATTGTGATCGAGCGAAAAGACCATAGGTATATAGATCGAGCAAGACTGAGTGCGTGTGTGTGTGCATGTGCATATAAATAAAGAGAATGCTTGCGTTCATCTCCATGGGACACAATAAAAAGAAGAGAGAGTGAAGAGAGAATATTAATTACAGCATGAGAATTAGTGACTGAACGAAGCAATTGAAACTTCTCTTTTAAAGAACCTCTCTTCTTTTCCCTCGGATCCATTCTTCTTCTATATATGTTTGATATTATTAGCCTCTTCCTTCGTACTGAGCTTTCTTGATTGATTTCTACTCTCTTCTATATAGAGGAACTATGTGTGTATATGCAATATATATATGAGAAGGAGGAACCAGAGATCTTAGATTAAATTGTTTATAGGATCCTCTCCTCTCTCACATGTCTGCTTTAGTCTCTCTTGATCGCTACAAAATATAATATACGGACAACTCCGTTTTGTATCTCGTGAATTACTTGCTTGCCTCTATGTCTTAATATACGATATCCTATTTAATATTCGACCCTATTTTATTTTGTTTTCTTATATAAATACATATCCTATATTGATTCATTTACAATAAGTATTTACAGTATTTAATTTAAAATTTCCTTTCGATCATATAATAGGTATAAATATACGTATATGTACTAGCAACTTGAATATTTGTAACACTATTTATTGGCGGTAAATTCTCGCTGTGATGAAAATACGTCACTTTTGCACCCTTATTATATACTTTACTTGTACGTGTTTTATCTTCCTCTTTGTCTACATACTATTCTAACACCTCCAAGCAAAATCACGATAATTGATTACAACTATAGCCAGCTTTGAAATTTTGGAAACCGATAAAGATATATAATTACAAAACTCCATTTATATACTTAATGATATGATATGTATTGTTCCGATCCGTGTAATAAGTAATGATATAAAAATTGGACTTTACAGGTATATATTATTTGGCTACTAATTAATTTAGCTATAATTATAAACAAAAATAAATACACTTACTCTTTTCTTTTGAAACTTGCATTAGTAGCAAAAGGACATTAACATATCTCTTCTGAATGCAGTTTTTATCCAATCACGAATTATAGAGATGCAAGTACCATTACATCCAGTTCGTTATGATCATTGCAAGAACAAGAAAAAAAATCATTTGAACTTCGGTACGGTTTACTAGATTCCCGTTATATATCTATGCAATACTCTGGATAATGTTAATAGGATACTTGAAGAGAGAATCAAAGTAAGAAAAAAAAAAAGAGGCGAGAAAGGGAATGATGAGCTCGTGATATATGGGGGAGGAACTACTATTGTGAAATCATATATTTTTTTGTTTAATAAGAAAAATAAAAGTTTGGGAGCATCGAAAGAAGTGAAGGAGAGGATAAAAGCAAACAAAAGAATGTTAGTTGTGATTTTGGAATGCCTCCAAACACTCCTCACGGGGATCTTTATGAACACAAACCCACACGTATATCCTCCTCTCTCCTTGCCCTCTCCATCGTTATTTCTCTCTCTATATCTATATATATACGTCTCTGTATATGCATGCCGTATATACTACGTATAGGTGCATCTTTTCATATATATCTTTAAATGTGCATCTATGCAGGGCCGGCCCTGAGAAATAGGGGGCCTAAGGCTATTTTAAAACGGTTTCACCTAAAAAAATTTTTTTTATACATATGGGGGCCTAAAAAAATTTTTTGGGGGCCCAAGGCAAATGTTTCATCGGGCTTGGCCCAGGACCGGCCCTGCATCTATGCATATATAGATCCCAATTTTGAACAAACACCAATGTAAAGTCACGTCTTTCAAAACACTTATCATTTATAGTTTCATGCCTAACAGTTTGCTTTCCCGTTAGATAGAATGATTTGATGGATCGTGGATCAGTCTCAAGATTAAAAATGCATCTTTTGCGTTAGATCAAAATGCTCTCACAGTAATGTGCATATACTAAGTTTTGCATATATGTAAGCGTTTGGATACAAGTACATAAGTTTGGATAGATTAGCATTGGTATAGGGATGTAGAAGATTGTCTATATAGGAGACGGACAAACAAACGTACCCACCAATTCACATGTGTGCCAATTAATCATCACAACAATACAACACTCTACACACAAGTCCCGTTGCTTCATCAAACCCTTTCTCTCTCAAGTCTGTAGCTTAGTTCATGTAGACATTAATTCTACTATCTTCTCTCCTCTTCTTCCTTTCTCTACACTATCTGTTTCTTTTCTTTTATTATTTAGGGTTTCAAGCAAAATGCACCCTTGATTTTCTGCACCTCTCGTTTACGTCAAGACCCATGTCTTTGGTTAGATATATTGTTGACAATACTTACTTACGAATTAATATCGAATACTAAAGTTTAGTACTCAAATGTATCTAAGGACCAACATTCTGCAGTCAGTAGATAACATTTCATTGTTAAGAAACAGATCACCTGACTATTGAGATTATGCTATAAATTATATGTACTGTATAACTTTCTTTTTGGTATGAACACTGTAGATATCAAGTATTATCGACAACCGTGATGCTATTGGGTTTCTTGTTATAGAAAATACCGATTGGAAATTAAAATATGTGTGAGATCATAATATAATAACATTTGTTTCTTATATATAGAGGGTCGCTATCTACATCTGAATTCTAATGGCTACAAAGAGTTACCTTGTCATCGATTCACTTTCAAAAGTTTTTCGCTTAGAAATGATCATTTTAGCAAGACAAGTAAAATATTTTTTTTCCTATTCCATATTATCTATTTGTTTATGTAAAAGAGTCTCGTGTTTGTGACAGCTATATCTCTTTTGTCTCATCCCCCATATGAATTATATTTTCTTACCCGAAACTATTGATTTTAGTATCATTTGTTTCTACGATATGCACTTAAATTATGATACAAGCAAAAAAATATAATGAGATCCAATATTCACAGATTAAAGTTCCACTTGGAAAACAATCATTGGTTTGCTTTCCTACGTATTAGGAAAAGGATTCTGATTGTACCTGTAAATTTATACGTCCGATTTATGAACCACTATGAGATATTATTTATTAGTACGTACAAGTTATTTTTATACTGAGAAGATATCAAATATCACCATAATATTTAGCAATGTTCAAGAAATCTATATGCGGTAGTTAGACGATTAGTTGAGGATTATTGATTATATGATTATATGATTTTTGAACACATATACCAACTTTTTTAAAATAGTTGAATTTTTTTTGTTTCGTTTAAGTCTGATTTGCCGAATAGACGAATTTTTAAGCACCTGTCTAATCATAGTTTTAGAACATGGATATTAAAACTTAATTGATAATTTTTTGTGATTTAACATAAATTACCAAAAATGTTAGCCTTTTATAAGTATGGATTTAATACACAAATACATCATACAATTAAGGCTAATATAGCTACACAATAATCTAGAGTCTAGATTGGTTATCCCCTTCTTAGAAAAACTGACAAACAATTGTATTCAGAACGATTTTGCCAAATCCTCTTGTATAAATACGTTATGATTGTTATAATCTTAGATGCAAGATTATATGAATACTTCTCAATTCCATCAAACATTTTTTTTCATTTTGTAGATGAGAATTCTAGACGTACATCGCATAATCTTTTTAGTATTCAGACTGTTAAATATCCCAGATATTCATAATCAGTGTTTAGCTATTCTAGTTTAAAGAATAACTTAGCTAATTTTTTTCGTAAAGAGTAACTTTCTATACATACAATACTAAAAAGAGTTTGAACAAAGAGTACAGAAAATCAACATTTTGACATTACCACTAATTAATCATCACAGATTTGGTAAGCAATTTATTTCATTCAAATATCTATTAATACTATAAATCATGAGAAAAGTAATGTTTAAGACATTTGATCGACTCACATGTTTCTACATCATACTAATTTGATCCAGTCACATGTTTTCACATCATCTTAATATCAAAAGATTTGATTCAGTCACATGTTTTCACATCAATTTTTGCAATTGCACTTTCATATAAATAATGATTATTACAAGAACATTAAAATTCAATAATGAAGATTTACTAGGTTTAGATTAATCCAACAAAAGTCTTGATAAAATGTTAAAATATTTGATCAAACTATATATATGTTATAACATGAATTTCCTGAAGATGTTGTTTATACCATTAGTTAATTAATATTTCTTGTTGGAAAAAAAATCACTAAGTTAAAAACTTTTATATCTTATTATTTTTTTGAGTAATATATCTTAAAAACTGAAATCAGTATACTGTATATTCAAATTAATATCATTTCTCAATCCTCTAAATAAATTCTATAATCTTCACTTGATCGGGTATGCTAACATCTTATACAATTAACCTTTTTGTTAAGCATATTGATTTGCTGATTATAACCACGTTAAATATACTGATGAAAAAATGGGAGGTATATATAATGGCATATTACCGTTTAATATAAATAATTGATAAATAGTTTTACAAAATCGGATTAGTTGACAAAAAAAATCATGATAAATTGTAATAAAAATATTTATATATCGCTGTTTTTTCTTTATGTTGGCACATCAATGTTAAGGACGACTCATTAATTAAACTCCAAGATATAAACACATAGGATGGACCATACGTGGGATTTAGAATAGACCAAAAAGACAAAATAATATTGAACACATCTTAAGAAGAATATACAATAATATGTTGTAGTCAGGGTTTAGCAATTTGATCTACCCCACTCTCCCCTTGAATGTGACAAAAGAATCAAATGGGAATTAGGTCACGGGGGCGGCTTTGTGCTATCAAACATCACTCATTTTATTTTGTTTTAAATATCTTTTATTTCGATTTTGTATAGTATCTGATCAAATAATAGACATTGCTCAATCATTTACATCCTCATATTTGTACATCAGAATACAGTAGAAACAAATACGCGTTAACGTTTATTTAATTATGACTACGTACACCTGTTTACATATATGCGTGACGACGTGACGTTTGCATGTCTAGTTGTAGACTTATAAACTAATTATAATTAAGCTTTTCACATAATTTACTTGCCGGTTTCCCACGAAAATGGGAGGGTGAACATATGTTTAATCTATACTAGGAGTAGACAAACAATAGCTTAGGAACAAGACTTTACAGAAATGAGAATTACATATTGAATCTGTAAACAAAAGTTGAAATTCCGTCCAAGTTATATTTGCTATTTGGGACATATGATATTTCAAACAAAAAAAAATGGTAAAATTAGGTATGATTTCACACAATGTATAATAATCAATCACTTAAATTTACATACCATAAAAATAAAAAATTCACGATTTTTTTTTTGGGGACATTGTATATTTATTATTATGAATCAAATATCCAGATTGAACACATTAAAATCAAAATCCGTAGTTCAAAAAAAATAAAAATACAACCAAGGTTTTAAATAGAAAAAATAAAATCTAACGATGGGCCCATTAGAGCCACTTAAGGCCCATTATGTTTCTTTCTAAGCCCTACCCAAAGTGTCCTCTTCTTCTTCAAGCACTACCTTTCTTCTCTTTCGATACTGAATCAAACTCGGCGCCGCCGCGAGAGACAGCCAGAGAGAGAAAGCGAGATGGGTAAGGGGACAAAGAGCTCAAGGAAAGGGAAAAAATCATGGAGGGCCAACATAAGCACTGAGGACATTGAAGATTTCTTCGAGAAATCCACCAAAGATGCTCTCTCTGGTGGCAACCTCTCCGCCGCTCCAAGCGAGGACCTTTTCCACGTCGACAAATCTCATGGTTTCTCCTCTTACCTCCTTGATAAGTTTTGATGGGTTGTTAGAATATTGATTAAAGTTTTGATTTTGAATATGGGTTTGTATTCGTATCAGATATTCCGGTGAAACGGAAGATTGAGAAAAACAGAGAGAAGGTGCTTAGATGTGACAGTGTCTTAAAGAAGAACCCTTTTGTTCAGGTTGTGTCATCTTCGAAACCCAAGTCGAAGATTAGTAAGAAGAAGACAAACGTTGTAGAAAGCAAAACACTTAAACAAGCTCAAAAGGTGTGACATTTTTAGATGTGAAGCTGCAATTTAAGCTTATTTTGCTTATGACTTTCCCATTGTTTGCAGAATGTTGATGACGGTTCTGTAATGATGGACTTGTGGGGTGATGATAATAATAATGGTATGTGTAGTGTAATGAATCGTTTTTTTTACTAGTTCCTTTTGGTAGAGATGTTAAGATTTTATTTGTTTGGTAATAAACTTGTAGGAGAACATGAGAAGAACCCTAGAAAGGTAATGTCTCCTCTACTTGCTCTTGTATTGAAGAAGTGATTTGGTTTTCAGACTGTGACTCATTTTTGGCTGTACAGATTCAGAAATTGACTTCGACTATTCCAGCAGTAGAAGTTGATCCTGCAGGATGCTCATACAACCCTACAGCTGAGAGTCACGAGGTACAGAGTCTTTATTACGAATCAAGTCTCAGTGTCTCACAGATCCGAATAGTTTGTATTGACTTCTCTCATGTTTATAGGATATGTTGGCGGAGGCAGTTGCTCAAGAAATGCAGAAAGTTTACAAAACTGAGTTAGGGCCTGAGCCTGTTCCTTTGACCATTGATGGAGACGCAAACATTGAAGACGAGGCTGGTCTTTTGAGTGTATGTAATAGAATAATTAATGGGAAGAGTGCGTACTTTCTTGGTGTGGACAATGGTAGCGAAGGTGAAGAGGAAGCAGACGCTGAAAATGAAGTTTCTGAGGCTGGGAATAAGTAAGCTCTATAGTTTGTTTCCAGTGTACACTTCGTTCTAGTTTTTTTTTAACATATAATTTTAATTTTTTTAAAAATCTTTCTACTGCAGACTCCCAAGAACAACGAAGAGGGTAACCCGCGTGGTATTGAATAAGCGATCTAGACAAAAGGCATTGCGAAAGTTGGAGACAAAGGAAAAGTTAAAAGAGAAGATATCAAAGGAAATTGATAGGTACTTATGTGGATTTTTTTTAGTGTATTCTCACGGTAATTACATGTTTCTTACTATTGTTCTTGTGTGCATTCTTTTCCTTAGCTTGCCTAACATCTTGAAAGAGATAGCTAAAGAAGATAAGGAGAAACAGAATAAACTCATACGAAAGACTATCGCTAAGGAAGAAGTGCTCAAGATACGTCCTCCTCGTTTGGGGAAACACAAGTATGAAACTAGATTCTTTTTTGCAGATATACATTCTTGTTTATTATCTCTGGCTCACTAATACTCTCTCCGTTCATGTTTATTTCAAGATTTGAGGCTCCTCCTGTGCAAGTCCTCTTAACAGAAGAGATGACCGGTTCACTTCGTAAGCTGAAGGTAATGTACTCTTGGTTCACTCTGACCAGCTTTCTATGGTCCTTGTTAAATCTTAAAACTGAAGAAGCTGCTATTCTTTTCTTGAAAAAGCCATGCTGCACGCTTGCAAGAGATAGATTCAAGAGCTTGGAGAAGCGAGGAATACTTGTGCCGTCAAAGAACATTAGAAGGTTAGTTCTGACAGTGAATGACTTAGTTAAAAAAGCAGGTGATGTTGAGTTCTTAACTATGATTATGGATTGTGCAGGAACTAGGAACTCTTCTCACTTTTGTCTACGGCTCATTTAAGAAAAGCCTTTTTGCTGATAGCGTCTCAGCCGACGACCTTTATATATTGTTGTGTTTTAACATTAAGTTGGTTTTAATGTTATCATCAGTTTTGAGTTTTGTGAGGAAAAACAAATGTTGCTACCAGTTTCATTACTCCTAATCTTAAATCTCTATATATAGAAATATTTTTGATTCATAGCGATAAAACTTGATCAATCTGCAACTTTAATAGCTTTATTTGGTCTGTGACGTGTTCCATCAAACGTAGGATCAATGTAAGCACCTGTTATACATGTCTTACCATTTGAACACGTCTTACAATGTAATCAGTTAGTTCAATACCTTCAATAACCATAGTTTTTGTTAAGTCTTTTTTCAGTTTCAAAGTTTAATATGGAAGTAGTTTAAAGTGGAAGTAATTTCCACTTTGGAGGTTTTTCATGTGACTTTGATCATGTCGTTTATGGTTTTGGATGCTTGGGTTATTCCTTGAGAGATTCCCGGTGGACTCTCCAGGATCTTTTCTCATCATATATTGTCATGTTTCTCCTTTGGGTTGAACTTACGGGTGGATTCATTGGGCATTGTTCGATTTCACCATCGAGAAGTGTCTTTTATACCGTTCTCTTTTCTATGAAAAGAGATGTTTTATGTTTTCTTGGTTTCATTTACTTAATTTTAGTTTCAGTCTGTTCACCGGTCTGTCACTTTGCGTAGTGTACGGATAAGAAGATACAATCGAGATTACTTTGATAACGTATTACAGTAGAATTTCTATAAACTAATATTTGTTAAGTTAATAATTCGATTCGATTGTGGTTTGTCACTTTGCGTAGTGTATGGATAAGAAGATACAATTGAGATTACTTTGATAACGTAATACAATCGAGATTACTTTGATAACGTATTACAGTAGAATTTCTATAAACTAATATTTGTTAAGTTAATAATTTGATACAATCGAGATTACTTTGATAACGTATTACAGTAGAATTTCTATAAACTAATATTTGTTAAGTTAATAATTTTATAAAATAATAGTTTTTTCGGTCTCAATTAAATTGGTTAAAAATTTGACACAAATTAATAAAGTAATAGGATAATAATTTTTAGAAATGTAAATATATGGTCTCATTAAAATTATAAATCAATAATTTATATGTTTACATATTTTATATAAGTAAAAACCTATCATTAATATTGTTTCTTTATATTCAAAATATAATTATCTCTATATTTTCTTAATATTTAATATATATTTTTATAAGATTTAGTAATATTTATATGCAATATATAATATATATACCCAATAATGTATTAAATTAATATAAATGTCAAACTGCAGAAAATAATAATTAATGTCTATACACTAAAATCAAATATTTGCTTATCTTAGAATAAATATATCTTAGCATAAAAAAAAAGGATACTTTTATAAATTAATATCTCTTTAAATTCTTAAAATTTTAAAATCTCAGCATGTAGTTGTTGATGTTCAGTAAAAATATTAACACAACTGCTAATTGATTTTTGTCAGGAACAAGGATATTAGTTTTAAAAAAATCTGTCTCAGTTAAAAAAAATAGAATGAGATTTTTTCAATAAAAAAGAAAGTAACTTCGGACAAGCATATGAAGCAAGAACGCACTACGTGTTGACCATGACCATGATCAAACCAAAACAAACGGATCTTTCCTTCGAATAAGGCAATAAGCATAATGGTGTTCGAATTTTCTTCCTTTTTTATTAATAAAAAAGATTTTTTTGATCCCTTTTTACAACAAACTATAGGAACAAATGTCACGCTCCGGCAATTAAGGTAATTAATCTATCCTTAAAGAGAAACATAAATCTTATATAATCAATAGAGCCATTAGAGATAGAGATCTGATCATTTGGAAGATTAACAAAAAAAAAATGGCATCATCAGAGCAAAAGTTGGTAGAAGAAAACGGGTCGGTGATCTCAGGATTGTTGGATAAAGCCAAAGGTTTCTTTGCGGAGAAGCTAGCCAATGTTCCGACGCCGGAAGCCACCGTGGACGACGTTGATTTCAAAGGCGTGTCACGTCAAGGTGTTGATTATCACGCCAAGGTCTCCGTCAAGAATCCTTACTCTCAATCCATTCCTATTTGCCAGATCTCTTACGTCCTCAAGAGTGACACGAGGTTCTCTTCTCTCTTTTCCGATTATTCTATGTACCGTTTGATTTACACTAACTCTTCATCTAACGAATGAAAATTGAGTTTGTGCACTTGTTAAGACACAAATCAATAACATAACCCGTACGTGCATGCTATAACATGATCTAGTGTGACATCTATGTCACATGCATATTTCTATTGTCTAAATTTTGAGATCTGTAAAACAAAAAGTAATTGTCTGTTTCTAATGCATATATATATATATGTGTAATTTCAATAGTCAATGTGCAATCACTAATGATCTCTAGCACCGGTGAGTCCATAATCCATAACGTATATCTTCATACACATGTGAAACATTATACGGTGCTAGTAACAAATCTCCTCATGGTAACGAAACGATACATTGTCTCAGGTAGTCCGGTTTGTTTAGGAATAAATTAGCTAATACTATATAACATTGCCATACCAGTATTTTTAGTGTAACGTTACTTATATATGCTTAAGTGTAATGTTGTTGCGCAGGATGATTGCGTCGGGCACAATACCAGACCCGGGTTCGTTGGTTGGGAAGGGCACCACGGTTCTGGACGTACCGGTTAAGGTGGCTTATGGGATAGCGGTTAGTCTAATGAAGGACATCAGCTTGGATTGGGACATTGACTATCAACTTGACATTGGACTAACCATCGACATTCCTGTTGTTGGTGACATTACCATTCCTGTCTCTACTCAGGGTGAGATCAAGCTCCCTTCCCTTCGCGACTTCTTTTAACTTCATATGAGTTTCTTAATTATATTATAGTTTTCAATAAAACATAGACGATATCGCAGGTTTCATTTCTGCATTTCTCTTTTGTTATTGGTTTGTAAAATACTTTTATTGGTTATGAATGTTTCCGTGGTATGTGATTTATAATTTTAATTAGCAGATATATTGGTTATTTTATTTTATTTTTTTGAAACTAGCAAACTGGTTATATATATTGCCTTGTAAAAATATGAGTATACTCTAAAATAATGCTCGAACGCATAGCCGGTTCTGAACACCTACCTACAGTATATGCAATATTTGCATTCGTCTAAGAAATTTTTAAAAATAATATATGAAGGTTTGATGGTTCTTATTGAAATATTTTATTAAAAGAAATGTTTATAGCCATGAAATCACTGCTTGGTGCAAAAGTCCAACTTGTATAGTGTGCTGGTGAATTCTCTTTGGTGCAATCTGCATCCCCACCTATCCCAACCTTCTACCTTTCTCCCCCCACCCAAATGACCGTTAAATCAAAGCCAATTTAATACCATTCTCATTTTTCGACTGCAATAATTGATCCCAACTTTGTTAGTCGTTAGGCCCATTACATTAATGTTCCATTTTTCTCTTATAGTAATAATGACACATGAAACACAGATGTACATATAAAGTCAACACTCTCCATCCCTTTAGTTGATTTTGTATAACCAAGTAATTAATCTGAACCTCTCCTCATACACACACACAAAAAACATGTCCGAACCAGAACATGTTCGTCCGCTAGCTCCGGCGACCGTACTTCCGTTGAGCGATTATTCATCCACCAACAAACAAGCTCTCAATCGTCGCAGAAACCGAATAAAATGCTTAATCTGCGTCACTGTAACATCTCTAATTCTCATCACCATCGTGTTGTCTTTAGTCTTCACAGTGTTCCGAGTCAAAAACCCCATCATAAAAATGAACGGCGTGACAGTCAACGGTCTGAACTCAACCACCGGGACTCAGATCCAACTGTNTCCACCAACAAACAAGCTCTCAATCGTCGCAGAAACCGAATAAAATGCTTAATCTGCGTCACTGTAACATCTCTAATTCTCATCACCATCGTGTTGTCTTTAGTCTTCACAGTGTTCCGAGTCAAAAACCCCATCATAAAAATGAACGGCGTGACAGTCAACGGTCTGAACTCAACCACCGGGACTCAGATCCAACTGTTGGGATCAAACATCTCGATGATCGTCGACGTGTCGGTCAAGAACCCGAACTCTGCTTCGTTTAGGTACTCGAACACAACGACTGATATATATTACAAAGGAACGGTGGTTGGTGAAGCACGTGGGCCACCGGGAAAGGCGAGAGCGCATCGGACGGCGAGGATGAACATGACGGTTGATATTATGATAGATCGGTTTATGATGGATCCGGGTTTGGTTCGAGAAGTAACTGGGTCGGGTCTTTTGAACGTGTGGAGTTACACTAGGGTTGGTGGTAAGGTGAAGATACTAGGGATGGTGAATAAACACGTTACGGTTAAAATGAACTGCACGATGGCTGTTAACATCACTCGACAGGCTATTCAAGATACTGAGTGCAAGAAAGATATCGATCTTTGAGTTTTTGGTTTTCGAAGGTATACGTTATGAACTTATGATATGCGTTTTTTGTCATTGATTAGATCAGCGCATGTTGATACGTTTGTATAAAGTATGTTTTGAGCTAGTAGTTTCTAGTTTTTCAAGAGTTGGATGGAGTAAGCTTGATAATTTCTGTTATATATATCGAAAATGTTATCAGATTTTTAGGAAAAATTAACAGACTACTCTAGTAACGCTAGTTGGTATAGAAAGCAGTAAACAGATTTGACTGTGTATATTAGTTTTAACTAGCAGGAGAATAAGTCCATTTTGCTGATTAATCACATGGTTTATTGACTAATCTACTATATTTTAGTCGATATAAACGATCTTTAAACAAATCACATGCACACACATGTTTGCTAGTTCATGATGTACGTATATCCAACTGTTAGCTCAGCTTCTATATTTTGTCTGTAGAAACATGATTCGTTTTTTTAACAACGATCGTTACCTTTTTTTAATTGTGATTAGTAGTACTATATATGTGCCCATTAGTCGTTTTTACATTTTTAAAGCTAAACGATTAGATATGAGTAAATTTTCAAACGTCGAGTTTCAATATGGACAACAAAGAGGCAAGAACGTTTTCAAACGTCTAGTTTCAGTATGGACAACAAAGAGGCAAGAACGTTTGACAATTTTGCATTGAGAAGCCTAGAATCCACACAAATCGAACCAAAACAAATTTCAACGACACAAGACAGCGATTGAGTATGATATACATTTTCTAATTGGATGTATGTCACCCATCAAATACGGAACTGACAAGTATGGTTAAACAGTCAATGATACAAGGCTCGAACACATAAAAGAAAATGAGAAATAAATTTTAAAATAGCAGAGCAAAAGTTAAAAATAATATTCTTTGGTTGGCCAGTTAATTAATAACACCAACATCATTAATAAATGCAAAATTGCAGTTTCCAAACTATATTAAATGCATCTGCAATTTCCACCCACCTCTTCTCTCTTCCCCTAACTAATTAATTAAAACAATATTCCAAAATTTTAAAATTCAATTTTTTCATCACTCTCTCCTTTCTTCTCTTCCTCCCACATGGACCCATTTTTCTCCTTGACCATCAAATGTCAACCGCCTCCTCCTCCTCACCCGTCTTCCTCTTCCACCCTCCTCTTCCGCCGTCGCCTCCACACGACTCCAACCACTCTTACCTCACAACTCTAGGCTTCGGCTACTCCATAGCCATAGCTCTCGGTTTCCTAGTCCTCCTTTCNCCTTTCTTCTCTTCCTCCCACATGGACCCATTTTTCTCCTTGACCATCAAATGTCAACCGCCTCCTCCTCCTCACCCGTCTTCCTCTTCCACCCTCCTCTTCCGCCGTCGCCTCCACACGACTCCAACCACTCTTACCTCACAACTCTAGGCTTCGGCTACTCCATAGCCATAGCTCTCGGTTTCCTAGTCCTCCTTTCAACCGTTCTTTTATCCTCCTACCTCTGTTGCCGCGACTCTCGCCGTCGCACAACCGCCGTCGAATCCACCGCAGAACGTGGCGTGAGCGTTATTCTCCCTCGTGTAATCTTCGTCTCCGAAGAAGATGATCTTGAAGCGGGTGACGTCAACGTGGGACTTGATCAGGCCGTTATAAACTCTTACCCTAAGTTCCACTTCTCAAAAGAAGCCTCCGCCGCGTCTTCCGATGGTTTTGGCGGCGGAGGAGACACGACGTGTTCGATCTGTTTGTGTGAGTATAGAGAAGCGGAGATGTTGAGGATGATGCCAGAGTGTAAACACTACTTCCATTTATGTTGTCTTGATGCGTGGCTTAAACTCAACGGATCTTGTCCTGTTTGTCGGAACTCGCCGCTTCCCACTCCGACATCTACGCCTCAGTCAACACCTTTGTCGGAAGTTGTGCCGCTCTCGCACTATGCGGCCGATAGAAGAAGAGCAAGAAGATGAGATTATTTTACATAGATCTATTCGCCTAATTAGGGTATTATTATTGTTTTTGGCTCCGTTTCATTACAACTTCGCTGCTTTGTAATTAAACGTTCCGTTAAAAGTGGAGTTTGCCATTAATATCATTGAAATGAAATTCATTTTGAAATTTGAACGATTTGCTTTCACATGTTTTATCCCTTGTTGACGTACGCATTAAAATTTAACACAAGGTTGTAAACTGTGACATGAGTTTGAACAGTGTAACTTTAGTAGTAGATTGTTTTGGTTGTCGGAAATAGATGTTTCTAAAGCTGAGAACAAAAAGAGTCAAGATTAGTAGTAGCATGGGAATAAAATATGGTTGATTACTCATGTAGACTATATATTATTTTTATAAATGAAATAGACATGTTAAGATAAATTTCCATAAGCTTATTTACATTTTTCTTTACAAACTGTATGATAGGTAACATAGCTACGACTAGTACGTTCCAAACGCAGATTGCAACATGCCTAACTCTGAGAAATGTTGACTTCAAGCGAATCTGATTTCCTCTTACGTGCCTCAAACGTCCTTGTTATATGGTAAAGCGCACGTTAGTCATCAAACTTGGGGAGCTTTGGTGATATAATTTGAATTATATTTGTTTAGTCATAAAGAATGTGAATGCGTGAATGGTTGTTAATTGACTTAGACTAGTCCAAAAATTCGCTTATATACCTCCCCGCACTATCTTGTGTCGAAGCTTAGTGGTAAATGCCTTTGTTAATAAGTAATTAACCACGCTTGGATTACATGGGTCCACGTACACTTTACATTTCCCATAACATTCGACCTACACGTAAGCCAATGACGTGAGCGAGATTAAAGTAAGAATGTAAGACGGCGTCGTTTCGAAACATGCTTATATATTTAAAAAACGAGCGTGAAAAGCTCACGATCTGGTATCAATATATACGTCCAGAATTCACTCGTGGTGGTCGGTTACACAATGAGAAAAGGTTATGACACGCATGACGCACCTTCAGCGTATTGTTTTCCTCCTTTGCGTGTTGCCTACACGTTCGTCAACGAAACGTTGACTTTCTTTTCCCACCATTAAAAAAAAAGAAGACTTAACGCCGTTAAACGACGACATTCTCTCATCCGAACTTCACGCTCGGGCTCCGAACCTCACGCTTCGTGATTATAAAAACCTATTATTTCTTCCCTTTCCTTCTCCTCCTCTCCGATAGATATTTTGCAAATCCTCTGTTGAAATTCGAAATCAATGGCGGAAGAAATCGAGAAGTCGTTGCCGAAGGAGGAGTCTCTGATGGACAAGATCTCGGAGAAGATCCACCATCACGATTCGTCGTCTGATTCGGAGTACGAGAAGCCTGATTCGCCATCGGCTGTGAAATCGAAGATCTATCGTTTGTTTGGTAGAGAGAAACCTGTTCACAAGGTTCTCGGTGGTGGAAAACGTATGAGTCTTTACCTTTTTTTATTGAATCTCTCGTTGCTCTTGTTATTGTACATTGTCTATAGCTTGATCGTTTTTGGTTTTTTAATGCGTTGATCTTTCAGATCTGTTTGCTGATGATATGATGTGTTAAAAGTAGTTTTCAGAATCAACTTAACCGGTTTATATCAATCCTTTGGTTCATGCAGCTACTAAATGATAAATACATATAGTTTTCTTGATCAATTTTGAAGGTGAATGATAGATTTATGCGAATGTTATTTTCTCGCTATGATTGTTCTGATTCGAAATGTGATAGTAATTTAGGTATCAAAAGAAGGAAGGAAGGCTAGAATGTTGTTTTGGAATTGAGAGTATAAGCTTGGTTGATTAGATAAAGACATTTTCATTTATCTTATGTTGCTTTTTGGAGAAATTTTGTTACATTTTTCGGATTTGAAAGCAGTTTATGGGGTTAATATTTGTGTTATTGACTTCCAAGTTTTGATGAATACTATTAGTCTCTGTTTGTCTGCTTTTTTTTTTTTTTAATATGTATTATTCTCTCATGTCTTTGCCTTGTCTCTGGCTTTATCAATGAATTTTTGCAGCTGCTGATGTGTTCTTGTGGAGGGATAAAAAGCTGTCAGCTGCTGTTCTTGGTGTGGCGACTGCTATTTGGGTTCTCTTTGAGCTTGTTGAGTATCATTTGTTGAGTCTTTTGTGTCACGTTTCGATTCTTGCTCTTGGAGGCTTGTTTCTCTGGTCCAATGCTCACACTTTCATCAAAAAGTAAGATTTAAAGTGTTGATCATGTTCGTGCCAGTGTGATCCTTCCTTGTGTAGTTTTTCTCAAATCCTTGTTTTTTTTTTGGGACAGGTCTCCACCTCAAATTCCAGAAATCCATGTTCCAGAGGAGCCTTTCCTTTTGATTGCTTCTTCCCTGAGAAACGAACTAAACCAAGCTTTTGTTATCCTACGAAGCATTGCCTTAGGCAGGGACCTTAAAAAATTCCTCATGGTATGTTTCTTTCCTTGTTAATGTTCATATGCAATGATCTTCAAATTGATTCGCTAACCCATTGTTCCTGAACTTTTTCAAGTGATTATTTGGTTGGTAATTTACATTGTTATTGTTGTATTCAGGTTGTTGTTGGTCTATGGATCATCTCTGTGGTGGGCAACTGGTGCAACTTCCTGACTCTGGTGTACATCTGCTTCGTACTGTTGCACACAGTGCCAATGATGTATGAGAAACACGAGGACAAGGTTGATCCATTTGCAGAGAAGGCGTTGAAGGAGTTGCACAAACATTACCTTGTGTTTGATGAAAAGGTTGTTTCTAAGATTCCCATTGCTTCCCTCAAAGCTAAGTTGGGTTGAAGACAGACTTGTGCGGGTTTCCTTTTTGCTTTTAATTTTGTTTTAATATTTTGATCAATGTGAAATTGGTGGTCATTTTCAGAGTTTTGCACGCTAATGGCCCAAAATGTTATGCATCACATTTTGTTTGCATCTCTTTTGTTGTATTTTTTTTGATAATTAAAAAGAAACTATTTGCCTTTTACTGCTATTTGTGAAGAACACTGGAAGTAATCAAAAGTGTTTACGAGTTGAACATTCTTCTTTTTTTTTTTACCGCAAGATAATAGCATACATTGGAGGAAATATTGGATAAAATAGCTTCAAGTTCTTTTCATCATCTCCCCAACCAATGTTTTTTTTTTTTTTTTTTTGGGCAACACTCCCTAACCAATGTTATAGAAGCAAATCAGAAGCTATAAACCCACCGATTTATTGCGCGAAGATGGGCTTTTAAGTAAAAGTCCAGTTCACAAATATGAGCCTAATTCCACATCCGTTGATTGATGATATCCAACGGCTAGGATACGTCCCAGAAGCCCTAATACACGTCTCTATATAAGCAGATATAAAACGATACACAAATGTACAACAGAATTTGCTCGCCGTTTCTGATTCGTATTAGTTTCTTCTTCTTTATAGTTATTGTTTTGAATTTTCTAGATTTAGTTAGAGATGCGATGAAGAGTTAATATCGGAAAGAATAGTTGATCGTACGCGAGATGAAATCCGATTATATTATGGTTCGTATTCGCTGAGCATCGAATTTTTTAGTTTAATAATAACGAAGGACCTATGGGTGAAACGCTGTAATTCAATGCGTATTCAAGCCAAGTTTACCTTCGTATATTCATTTATCGAAGATTGCCGGAATCTGTGTGTTATTCAGTTCCTGATTTCTATTTAAGTTTTCGATTAAATTTTCCTTTTTTTTTTAATTGGTAAAAGCGAAGGACCCAGCAGGGAAGCGAGTAATGCTCATGAAATGAGGCTTCTCTAACAAATTTATTTAACCTTCGTAGATTAGTCTCTCCAAGAGATCGTTGATGATCTGTTTTCGGATTGTCGTGAGTTCTTGGTGTAAAGTTTGATATGAAAATGAGTTTTTTGTTTTGTTTTCATGTGTTTGAGAAATTGAAAGCAGGGATTGTGTGTATCGGCTTAGTGTTAACAATGCACTTTGTACGAAAGTTTTCCCATTGCAAAATCAATTAGGGGCAGATGGGCAGTTGTGATTCACTTTCTCTATTGAATACCTCAACAATCATCTTCCCCACATCTTGTATGTCCACTTATAAATGTATTTACGAAGGCTTATATGTTTGAAAGCAGGGATTGTGTGTATCGGCTTAGTGCTAACAGATGCACTTTGTACGAAAGATTTCCCATGCAAAATTTACCTGGGGCAGATGGGCAGTTGTGATTCATCTCTCTATTGAATAGCTCAACAATCATCTTCCCCACATTTTGTTTTCTTTTTTTTTTTTTTTTTTTTTTTGGACAAACAACATTTCATTAATCTTAAGTCTTAACCTCCATCACCAAATACAAAGTCAGAAAGGCAATCTTGCCATATTACAAGCATAAGAAAACACATAACATAGGATAGAGGATCGAATAGCGAATAAGATCCAAGAACATCAAAAGACCAAATCTCTGAAAAGAGGCAAGTGAGTTCATGACAGTCTGACTTGCAGACAAGCTTTGACATGCCTAAAAAGGCTAGACCCTTTGCAACAAAGGCAATGAGGTCATGATACTCGGATGAGAAACGTTGCCATACCGGCGAATCTTGCGCATCAGGATAAATATTCTTGAACGAACTGAAGAAACATGGCGCTTCCATCAACATAATGCTCTATAGAAGTTTATCACTTAAACTCAGTAAGCGATTGGGGCGGAGATTAAACTCCATAAAAAGGTGAATCAGTCTTCGAGAGATCACGCAAATCTGGTGCAAAGTAGTGAGACACATGCTGATGCTTTTATATCTAACCTGCCACTCATGGTTAGAAAGCCATACATATCTCAACAGATAAAACACAGCCATATATAATCATGCATACTGCAGACACTCGCGTCAAGGCGAGATAAGAGCATCTAAAGATCGTAGAGACAGAAACAAATGGATCAAAGCTCATCGGTATATCGCCGGATAACGGACTGAAACTCGATTCAAAGCTCACCCACCCTATCAGCTGTCTAAACCGTTCTACATTGGCCGAATGAGAGGAAATTAAAGAGCTAAGCTGATAGTGAGGAACATTACAGTAAGGAGTGATGGGGAGATCAGAAGGCTCGTCATCATTCCCAAATAGTATTGACCTGTATACCACAGGAAAGGTGTCACTACCGGACACATGGAGACCCCTACCATCCCCATTCCTTGACGCCATCTGGGATGGAGGTTTCAGAGTTGAGATGTCACCGGAGCAACTACACTGAACGGAAAAATTGGAACCTGTGGGTATAGAGATGATGGGGGAATAGAACCACTCTTCAAAACTCCTAGCAAATAAGTTGGGTAAGACCCAAACATAGCTTAGAGGAGAAGAAGTAGAAATAGAGAAGGCAAGTCGTCGCCATGGAGAATAGATCAAATCTGGAGGGTCTGGAGGGTCAGGAGGGTCTGGAGTTGAGACACCAACGAGGAGGTCCCGGAGGGAGGTGAAGAACGGGTCTAGATCTGGATCTAGATCTGGATCTGGCGGAGACTCGACGCAAGTGGAGGATATGGAGGAGAAGACTGGGTCGACGGAACTGAGGAGGAAGACGTCTGGAAAGGTGAAGAGAGAGCGAGCTTTAAACGAACAGAGCTTACACAATGATGACGGCGGCGGGTCTGGAGGAGGCCAGGCCCGCGACAGAGAAGAAGTCACCATCGAGGCCATGGGGGAGGAGCAGATCATCTTCAAACGGAGGCTGGAGAAGCGGCAGAGCTGGAACTGTGGAGATCCATTCGGAAACGGCAGAACTTGCGGCAGAGCAGATCATCTTTTTTTATTCAAGTTTTTTCATTACAATGGTAACAATCTGTCCACTATTATAACTGAATTTACGGAAGGGAAGGGGTGGGAGAAAGACATTTGATTCATACACTTGGATGAAGTTGCTACTTTGAATTGCCTCTGCTATTATATTGCCTTAAACGAGACCTTCATGCCAGTTAAACAAGACTATTGACCATTTCATGTGCACTATATTAACTCAATAGGCTAGTGAAACTAGCAGACTTAATTTGAACACAAACTTTAATTCAATGTTTGGGACATCAATTATAAGCTGGCAATGCCAATAATATAATACGCTCTATCTACAGATCTCATCTTCCAGTGTTTCGAACTGAACAGACAAAATCAACTGATCAAATGAAAAATAGCTATCTATGTTCTCCTATGTTTTAGAACAGAATCGACATTACATTAACTCAAGATTTCTCCATCAACAATATTTATGGAACTCGAGTTAGGAGCCTGAGACCAACATTGTCCTATCTCCTAGAATCCGACAGGCTACTAACTAAGATCACTCTTGGGGAGTTTTAACCAGACATGAAGCCCAAATCTCATTGGCTGGTGGTGACGGCTGCACCAAATGTCCCGGAATCCGGCTGTATAGATAAAAACAAGACCGTTTTTCTCAAGAGAATTTAAAGCTTGTCTAACATTTAAACATTTAAAAAAATGTTGAACTTACCTTCCTCCGGGACTCAGATATGCATCCCATTCTCTTCTAATCTGTAATTTTAAACCATCACTCAGATAAATCTTTGACGTAAGAAATAAACTAGATGAAGAGTTAAAGAGAACCAACCTCAATAAGCCTACCCATGTCCAAATTGCTTCCGTAGTAGTAGTGATAACACTCGACTGGTAAATTTGATACATTGTCGATACCACTGTCAGGAGGAGCTTCTATCGGCTTTTCACAAGACGCTGTTGCGACAGTATTGCTTTCTTTATCCTTGTCTTTGTTGATGATTTTGTTAGTGGTGGTCTGAGAAATGTCTTCCTCGGAGGCAAGGACATTCTCTTCGGCCTCTGTGTTGGTCACGGACTGAGCTTGGTTCTCCTCTTGCTCCACAGCAGCACGAACACTCTCGAAGAACTTGTCATCTTCCTCCGGAAGAAAATGACCTGCACAGTGTGTCCAAATAACCCATTTACTTCAGTCAGTCTCTGGTTACAAAAAGCACTGTACAACTTCAGATTGTTGACATACCTTGCTTCTTTAGTTTTTCGATTCTCAGCGAACGTAACTCTTTCATTTCCTCAACTATTAGAGCTAGTTCAAGCTGAAACAGTGAAACCATGAGACTATTTACGATAACAAAATATGAATTCATATGAAATCTATCTTGAGTTACCACTATAATATGATTAATATATCATTAGAAGTCTTACCTCGGGTTCTAGTCTCCTTCGCTCTCGTTTCGCCTTGACCTTCTCAATTGCCTTCATCTCATCGACCTGAAAAACAGACAGAACCCGTCATATACAAACACGATGAACATATTTTGATTGCTTCACCACTTTTACCTTTCTGTTTGCCATGTCCTTGGCCATTTCCTTTTCCCTCCACTCATCAGCCTCTCGATCCGCTTGTTCAAATCTTTCAGGCTCCTGTATGATCAAAAAAGATAGAATCAACAACTCAAACATTGCTACATAACCTAAAACAGAGCTTTCAAACCCCACCTTAGCACGCATCTCCGCAACACACCGTCTCTTCTTCTTCTTCCAAAGCTTATTCCTTTTAGACTTCTTCATCCTACAACTCAACCTAACCGCAGCAGATTTCTCCTCCCATGGAGAATTCTCGTCAACAACAAACCTAAAAGGCTCAAGCTGTGCTCTCAATGTAGACATCAAGTAGTTAGCAGCTTCAACTGAAAGCTTCTCCTGCTCTTCCAAATTAATCTTCACACTTTCTATATATCTCAAACACTCTACTCCTGACCCTTCTTCTTCCACACTCCCCATTGAATCTTTACCATCTTTTATCATCCTCAATGCATCCAATTCCTTCTCCCTATAAAATTGCATAAGATTCTTGTAACTTAACCCTAAAATCACTAAACTAACTAAACCCTAGAATCAATACAATATCGTGTGTGGCATTTGCTTACATTGATTTTGCGAGGTGAAGCGTATCTTGGAGCTGTTTGAGCTGATTGCTTATGTTCGTTGTATTCCAGAACAGACCATGACGAGGTGGATCCGGAGGTAGCATCGGAGACCAGTGGAAGGGAGGCTGATAATTCGCGGGATTCATGTTTTGGTTTGAGCTGCAGAACCTATGTGAGAGGCAATGAGAAGGAGCTTAGATTAAGGACGTGAAATGAGCTAATGATGGTGGTGGAGGAGACTTACAGTTACAGATAAAGAGATACGCGGAGGATGAGTTTCGGTGAGATCCGACACCGGCAAAAGCAAAGAGAGACTGTAGACTAGAGGGAGGGATTATTTTGGGCTTTCAGTATTGATATAGCTGAGCCCATGATAATAAGCGAAGCTCATATGTATGGTCTTTTAATCAGTTTTTAATTTAACTGATTAACTAGGATAAGATCCGCGTCTTGCGCGGGATGAAACTATTATTTTTATTATGTTTTGAAAAATGAAACAATAGTTCGGTTTCATTCGGATTAGAGGTGTTCAATTCGGATATCGGGTTTCGGTTCGGCTCGATTTTTTGGTATTTCGATTATTAAAATATAACTACTATTCTAAATCTATATGTACTTAAGTTTGATTTGGTTTATATACCATCGGTTTTCAGTTTATTCAATTTTATACCAAAAAACATAATTATTTAGTTTGAGATCATATTATATATTATACAAATATATAATATGATCATATTTAGAGTCATATGGTCAGAGAGTCATTTATTAAAAAAATATTATATATTTAAATAAAAGAATAAAAAACAAAAAAGGCTTATATCATCTAATAAAATGATCAAATCTAGAATTAATATCAAAACACTAAATTTTGAAAATAAAAATAAAAACAAAACAAAAGCATGAAAGAAATTTTTTTATATTCTTCCATATTTAGTTATTTATTCTCGTTTTTTAAATTCAAAATATAACCTATACGAAAAAATCTAAAGTTTAATTTTATAGCTAATTTGATTGTTTAAATTATTTTAATAATATAAAATTAAAGAAAAATTATGGAGGGTATATAAACTGTTATCAAATATTTATTATTAGAATCATTAAGTGTCATATATATATATTAGTCATTTATGGTAATTCCGTATGTTTTATTTATGGAAAGAAAATAAAATATTAATTATATCTAGGGGAACAATCATAAATGTTTCTATCATAAATATCACATCATATCATCATATCATATAATTTGACCAACGGATGTATCTAGTGACATATAAAAATCGAATGTGGACGTACTTGTTTTTCAATTGAATGTAATTGACTACTTAATTGAGTGACACCTAAGCATAATGTCTTTTTTAAGTAAAAATGATTGTCAGCTACATGAAGTATCGACCATTACATGGCTAACCATGCAAAATAATAAAATGCACACTCAACTACATGAAGTATATGATATGCATGGTAACATCCATGAACTTTATGTTGTTATGTAGGTAACATCACAAGAAAAAATACTATTAACTACATCACAAGATTAATTACTTAATGAAAAACTAAAATATAAAAAATGATGTAAGATATGAAAAACCTTTTTATATTTTATATTTTTATTATTATGAATATTTTTTTATTTCAAAGTGTTACAGAACAATATTTAAATTAATGTTATTTTAGAAAACACTTTTAACTTTATTTTAATTTTATATTTTAATAGTTTGGTAGCTTAGCATTTATTTTTATATATGATTATTTTAGCCTTTATTTTTATATATGATTAGTTTAGAATTTATTTTTCTATATTTTTAACAATTTTTTAGTTTAACATTTATTTTTATATATGATTTTTAAGGGGGAATTCTATTTTACCACATTTACTGTAGCATAATTCATATTTTCCTTCAATAAGGAGATATTTTTAAAAATACATTTTTCACCGGAGGGAAAAATAATTTTCGATCATTATTTTATATATATATACAAATATAAATAATTATTTAAAAATAAAAAAATATACAAAATAAACAAATTAAAAAAAGAAAATTATAGAAAATAAAATTGAAAAAATTATAAAAATTTTAATTTGAAAACTTATAATAAAAAAAGAAAATAAAAATTCTTTTTATTTAAATAATTATTTATATTTATATATCTATAAAGTGAGGGTAGAAGAGTTTTTGACTTTTTAATGAAACTTAATATTTAGGTATATTTAAAAATTTTCCTCTAATAAGGAAAGTAAACATGAATAATGGTATCAAAATTGGGGTAAGGTAAAATTTCTCCAATATTTTTGGGTTATGTGAAAAAGATATTTTTATATTTAAAATATGTTTTGATATTAAATAGTTAAGTCATTTAAAAAATATTTTTCGAAATGTTTCATATCTTTATAATTGTCTTTATAAACATTTTTAATAAACTAAAATTTTTAAATATCTTACTATAAAAAGGTTTACGAAACCTTTTTTAATTTTACAAATATTCAATAAATGTGATAAAAATAGAGGTTAACAAAAAAGAGCTTTTATGATGTTAGCTACATAACAACATAAAGTTTATGGATGTTAGCATGTATATTATATACTTTGTGTAGTTGAGTGTACATTTTTTTAGTTTGCATGGTTAGTCATGTAGTGGTCGATCCTTTAGGTAGTTCACAATCATTTTTCCCTTTTTTAATTATTACAAAATTGAGGTTATAATTTTTTTAATGTTTCTCCTTTAATATATAAGGATAGTTTCTTATTGAATTCAAAAGGTTTGGATTTCAAGTTCTAAAAGTTAGTTCATTAATGATTATGCATAAATTAATATAATTTATTATATCAGATTTGCATGGAATCAAGTAAACTGTCATGCTAAATCTCCATAAAGAATCAAATATTTTTAAAATAGTCTAAACAGAAATGTTAGACATGGATTTTTTTATGAAACAGACGAAACTATATTAATGAACAATAAAATAAATAAGTAATAAAACTAGGTATATGATAATTACTATAGTTTTTAATAAATGAATGTTAAAAATTGGTCAAAGTTTATTAACTTATTTACCAAAGTTTAGTTACCATTTTCTGCTTTTAAATTTTATTCAGTGTTGACAACTGGTACTAAAGTTTCTTTTTGAGTCAACCATAAATAGATATAGATAAACCAACGCCAACTATCAAGTAATGACAGAGAAACTTTGCCAATATTATTATGTAAAGACAACAAATGATCTGTCAATGGAGTTTTTCTTTTAATCACCATCCCTTTAATAGAGAGCCAACGTTAACCCAAGGAGAGTTTTACACGCTTCACCATGCAAATCGGTCCTAAAAACATGTGTCAAAGATTCGAATTATAGATTCCTAAATAATAACCAAACCAAATATATATAACGAAATCACAAATAACAATTTCTATTCAGAATCTGTGAATTACCAAATCCATAGAGAGAAAGGTTTCTCTTACAACCTTTCTCAACTTGGGTTTCTCTTTAATTTCTAGATTCTGATTATATAACCATCTCTGTTTTTAAACAATGGTGGAACAGACAAAGAAGAGATTCATCACAAGCGATGATCTGAAAAAACACAACCAACCAGGAGATTTATGGATCTCCATCCAAGGCAAAGTCTACGACGTCTCCCACTGGGTCAAATCCCACCCCGGAGGCGAAGCAGCGATCCTAAACCTCGCAGGTCAAGACGTCACCGACGCCTTCATCGCTTACCATCCAGGAACCGCATGGCACCACCTCGAAAAGCTTCACAACGGTTACCACGTGAAAGACTTCCACGTGTCCGACGTGTCACGTGACTACCGTCGTCTAGCCGCGGAGTTCTCCAAACGCGGACTCTTCGATAAAAAAGGTCACGTGACTCTTTACACGCTCACGTGCGTCGCGGTGATGCTCGCGGCTGTTGTCTACGGTGTTGTTGCATGCACGAGCATCTGGGCCCACCTTGTATCCGCTGTTTTACTAGGTCTCCTCTGGATACAGAGCGCTTACGTGGGACATGACTCTGG